CCCCCCCCCCCCCCCCCCCCCCCCCCCCCCCTCCCCCCACTCACGTTAATCCCCGCACACATGCTCACTCAAACCCAAGCAAGCAAGCCCCAACCGCGTCCTAGTCCACGTACACACGTACCTGCCGGATGTCGTTCCCGTTGGCCTCCACGAGCATCTCCGCCGCGTTGTCGTCGACGTCCATCCCCTCCATCTTCGCCACGGCTTTGACCCGCTTGGCGATGGTCACCTTCTGAGGCCTCGCGAACCGCAGGTCGTAGCAGTGGTTCACCAAGGACCTGTTGTTCATTGTGGCCGCCGGCCGTCAGGGGATTGGGGGGGTACGTGGGATCATTTGGATATAGCTTGGTACGCAAGACCCCCTCTCACGAGACATACAACACATACGCGATGGTTCCGGAGAATAGCCTAGCCTCCCCCCGTGGCCCCCGCTTGTGGGAACTCAGATCTTGCCCACGCTTGAGATTGACGCGTTTTCGTTATTCAGCCGGGTTGCGCGGTCCATACCAAACTCTTACACGCATCGCCGCACTGCTGAGGCTGACGCGCTTTCAATGGTCAACAAGTTAGCGCGGCCCATGCTACTACACACAATTTTTAGTAGCCGCACTGAGACTGACGTTCCTCCCATTGGTCATACCGGCTAGCTCTCGGCCGACGCACGTAATGAAGACACACAGCCCCAAGACTCCTCTCATCCCCCCACGTTCGTCAGCCAGTGTGCGCGGTCGACAACGACGTCCTGCCAAAAACACAAAACACGCTTTTACCACGACAAATATTCAGCACCTAATTTTTTGGTGCTGGCGGTCGTTGCAGATGGCGATGATCGGCACCCTGCTCTTCTTGATGAGGAGGATGAGCTCCTGGATGCCGCCCCTGTCCGAGCCCCCCATTCCGTCCACCTCGTCCATGACCACCAGCTGCTTGCGGAACCCCCCCGTCGTGGTTCCGCCGCCTCCCCCGTTCGCCGTGAACGACAGCACCTGTTTTTCGTTAAATGTTGTCGTAGAGGGAAGAGGTGCATGCGAGCAGATAGGAACAGCAGCATGCGGGATTTGTTGTGGTTGTTCGTGAAGGGTTAGTAATTTGTTGCCGTGGCTGTTGCCTGTTGTTGCTCTGTTGCTGTGACGGTTGTTGTTAATGCCATTGTCGTTTCCCTTGTCCTTGGTGTATTCATGTTGAAAACCGCTCCGGTCCGACTTCTGCTCGGCTCTCTCCAAAAGGTCCGTACTTGTCCACCGCATTGGGGGCGTACGAAAAAAAAAAAAAACTTGAAAGGCCGTGTAGGGCGCTGTAAGAAGAGACTACGCTGAAACTGAAGTTGCTCGAAACCTGTCCATCTGTTTTCCAGCAGCTGTTGACTGGTTCAGAGCGGCTTTTTCTACCGCTCCATACAGCGGTCACTAGCAGGCATTGTTCCGTTTAGAAAAGCTTTCGATCCTTGACTGAAAAAAATCAATCGAAGCGGTGCACAATCCGTGATGGAGACACCCACATCTGCCTGCCTGTCCCCCAATCCATCCATCCATTGGCATGTGTAGCGCACACCTTGTTGCCAATCGCCCACGCCAGCAGACATTTCCTCCGCCTACAGAACCTTGCGATTCCTAAACTGAGAAACATCATGTCAACGACCGCACAAACCATGATGACGATAGACCCCGTCTGTCTGCTTGTCCACCCACTCATCCATCCATCCATCACCACGTGCAGCGCGAACCTTGTTGTTACTCACCGACGCCAGCAAGCATTTTTCCGTTTAGGGAAGCTTAAGATTTCGACCCCTCAACCGCAACATATCAACAATAGCACCGCACATACCATGATGACGATATCCACATCCCTCTGCCTGTGCCCTACCAACCCATCCATCCATCAACATGCGTTGTAGCTCGCATCTTGCTGCCAAATCGCCGACTCTCGCAGTTTGTACTGAAGTTTCGACCCCTCAAACGCGAAATATCAAACAATGATGATGACACCCACATCTCTTTCCCTGTGCCCCAATCTATCCATGTGTAGCGCGCACCTTGTTGCCGATCACCGACGCCAGCTCCTCAGACAGCGACCGCTTGCTGCGGGTGTCGCTCGCGTTGAGCTCCATCACGTGGTACCCCATCTCTCTGGCCACCAGCGTCGCTGTGGACGACTTGCCCACCCCCGGCACGCCCGACAGGAGGGCCGCGCGCGCGCCCGGGTTGTCTTTACCCTGAGGAGCGGGCCGCCGGAGGGGGGGCACGGGATGCATACTTCATTATTTCGTTGGCGGGGGTCGTAGGTGTTGCTGGATACCGGCTGGTGATGCACCTTCCCCGCCGATTCGGCCTCCCGCCGAATGAATCTAATACCAAAAGTCTGAAGACGAAGGCTTGGCGCCCAAGATGTGTCCCCCCTCTTCAGCCGGGTAACCTTGCTCGTAAGAACCCAACACCCCGCCACCACGTCTCCCGTGTTCTCATCGTCGGAGTCTTTGCGCCCACGAGGTGCCCCCCCCCCCCCCCCGCGCGCTGCCGTGCTCAAAAGACCCCCCCCCCCAAACCGCCCCCTCCGGTGTTTACCATCGGGGTTGGGTTTTCGTCGCTTGGCAACGACGTTGTAAAACAAGCCCCCCCCCCCCGGTGTTTTCCATAGGGGTTGTGTTTTCGTCGCTTGGCAACGACGTTGTAAAACAAGCCCCCCCCCCCCGGTGTTTTCCATAGGGGTTGTGTTTTCGTCGCTTGGCAACGACGTTGTAAAACAAGCCCCCCCCCCCCGGTGTTTTCCATAGGGGTTGTGTTTTCGTCGCTTGGCAACGACGTTGTAAAACAAGCCCCCCCCCCCCGGTGTTTTCCATAGGGGTTGTGTTTTCGTCGCTTGGCAACGACGTTGTAAAACAAGCCCCCCCCCCCCGGTGTTTTCCATAGGGGTTGTGTTTTCGTCGCTTGGCAACGACGTTGTAAAACAAGCCCCCCCCCCCCGGTGTTTTCCATAGGGGTTGTGTTTTCGTCGCTTGGCAACGACGTTGTAAAACAAGCCCCCCCCCCCCGGTGTTTTCCATAGGGGTTGTGTTTTCGTCGCTTGGCAACGACGTTGTAAAACAAGCCCCCCCCCCCCGGTGTTTTCCATAGGGGTTGTGTTTTCGTCGCTTGGCAACGACGTTGTAAAACAAGCCCCCCCCCCCCGGTGTTTTCCATAGGGGTTGTGTTTTCGTCGCTTGGCAACGACGTTGTAAAACAAGCCCCCCCCCCCCGGTGTTTTCCATAGGGGTTGTGTTTTCGTCGCTTGGCAACGACGTTGTAAAACAAGCCCCCCCCCCCCGGTGTTTTCCATAGGGGTTGTGTTTTCGTCGCTTGGCAACGACGTTGTAAAACAAGCCCCCCCCCCCCAAACCAATGTCTCGGCTGCTCTCACCGTCGGAGCCTTGGCGCCCTTGAGGTGCCACCCTTCCCAGTTCTGCAGCCAGACCTTGAGCTTCTTCACCTGCCCGGCGTGCCCGATGACCCCCGACGAACTAGTCGGCTTGTACTTGTCCACCCACATCTGGCCGGGGTTCTGGCAGACAGCCGCCGCCGCCGCCGCTCCCGCCCCGCGCTCAGCCTTCGAGGAGGAGGAGGAGGAGGAGGAAGCCGCAGCCTGCGGGTAGTCGGTGGAGATTGGAAACTAAGGCAATGAATGTGTTTTGCAACTCATCTTCGGCGGCAAACGGGTGGCCAGACTACTACTGTTGTGGAGGTTTATCGCAACCAAAAATTGACGCAACAGAGTCGTCGAGACATGAACACGCTGTGCACACAAAGGTAAAGCGCTACCAGCCAATGCAAGCGACAGCAGTTCAGAGAAATCGAGACGAGTGTACACGCCGTACAAAGAGTAGAATACCACCAACCAAATCCAAGACGAATGAACTCCCCGATCTAGCGCCCCCCCCCTAATTTCCCCCTGCCCCCCCCCGGTGTTTGCCATCGGG